GTTCAGCAACCATGGACCGCATGTTTTCTATCGGCGAAAGATCCGGACAGCGAGCCGGCCAGGGAAGCAATTCAATCTGGCGATTGACGAAGAACACTTGGACAATGCGTGCCACGTGTGGTCGCGCATTATCCTGTTGAAATATAGCTGTGGGCAAGCCCTGAAGGTAAGTGGAGATGTAGCGCTGGCTGTTTAAAGTACCGGCAAAGCGTACTAGAGGTGTGTGAGAGTGATATACAATACCGCCCCATACCATAATACCCGGTGCAGGACCAGTGTGGCGGTGCATGACGCAGCTGTTGAGCATCCTCTCTCCACGGTGTTTCCAGACTCGAATTCGACCATCATGGTGTTGCAGACAGAAGCGTGACTCGTAAAGACAATTTCATTCCATTCTGCAATCCACATCCTTCTTTCATCGCACCATTGGCAGCGGAGACGTCTGTGGCTCTACGTCAAGTGTAGACGAAGCAATGGACGTCTTGCGGACAGACTACTCTGCTGTAAACGGCGTCGAATGGTACGCACAGACACTGAATGACGCATTACAGACTGAATGTGCTGTGCTATGGTTCGTGATGTGACTGAGCGATCCGTCACTGCCATGCGCACAATGTTCCTGCCATCACGTGAAATGGTGCACTGAGGTGGATGCGATCGAACACGCGGATTCGTCGTACCCGCATCCAACGGTCACATATCCGTATTACAGTTGTTTGATTTTCGTCCAACACGACTACGATTTTCCCTGAAAAATACTCACACTCTCGGTAGGCCACTATACTTTCCTCTGTCGAACTCTAGGCCCACCAGCGGCCGAGCGGTAACGTCGCTGTTTACTACGAGGCATAATTGATCGTTTTCTTGAAAAAATCACAAGAAAAACACAATTGCCGAGCTTGAAAACTACAAGCCTTAAATAGCGCCACAGGCGCGCGTGATGTGCGTCTGCGATGTATTTCTAATCATTTGCATACCTCACCTTCGCTAATGCATATTGTTAATTTCATGTTATTTGTATCCTTCCTTCAGGGTGTTGCATTTACGGTGGCCAGCAGTGTAGAAGTACTGATGTAGGAACACCGAGACGCAGGAACACAGAAAAATACTGATGTTGAAGCACGTAGATGGCATATTGAAAAGGAAGCATTCTGATTGCGTAGTATGCTTCATGCTTAGAGCGTACATCCCTTTTGAAGAAGAAACAGTCTAGCCGGATTAAATTCCGTATTTATTTAAATTAAAGACCCCGTTAAACATTCACATTAAATTCACATTTAACATTAAATTCACATTTGGGTGGAAGGCAAAAGTTTCAGATTTAAGTTTTGGTTTACAATTTGGTGATTGGTCAAGAGGCATCTGCATTAAGTGTTACGTAAGATCGTATGATTAATTTGAAGGACGCAGTTTAGACTTATGGCGCTATTTCTAAGACAGAGAGATGAAGTCCCCAGATTAAATGAGAAACAAAAGAGATCACGACCAATTAAATTTAGAAGCCTGCTTTGATATTTTTTATCTTACATATATATATATTTAAAATGCCGAAAACCCTAACCTTATAAATAATGTAAAACACTTATAATGTAAACGTTCTTTCGCGTATCAAATGTAGTAAAATTAAAGTCACAAAATAATATCATTGAATGGCACTTAAGGGGGAAAATTAACCTAGAATTATTACAACTATTAACCGATCCCTTAATGCAAATTCAGAATGACCCCAAATATCGCAAATTTTGGAACTAATACGTCTGCCAATATTTGTCGTTGTCAAATCTTTCTTGTTTTATTTCTTATAATGAGTACAATTTTTTTTAAATATAAAATATAGGGACCAGATGAGCGTTTAAAAAGCTTAATTTCGTATTTTTATATAAAATTGTTTTTCAATTTAAAAACACAAAAATATGAATTTTTGATTAATTTAAAACACGTTTGTAATTTGATGCATATGTCTATCACCAACGGTTGCGAAAACAAAGGCCAGGTAAGAACTTGTGTACTTAGTTTTTATTTAGAATGGCAAAGGATTGAATTAAAAGAAGATTTTCGAAAAGTAGGATTCATTATTTTTATTAAAAGCATTGAAAATGAAAAAAGAAATATCATAAAGATGATGCTTATTTATGCAATTATACATCCAACGTCTAACAGTAAAAAAGAAATAAAAAAAGAATGCAAACTTTTTAGAAGCCATAAATGCAGAATACGTTAATAAGAATCAAAGTCAAAAGTAAGATTATATATATATATATATATCTCATATATGAAGCTCGTTTTCGTTCTTCCCTCCTGTGGTCGAGTAAGACCTGATCCACGAATACTGAGAAATAAAAAAAGAATGCAAACTTTTTAGAAGCCATAAATGCAGAATACGTTAATAAGAATCAAAGTCAAAAGTAAGATTATATATATATATATATATATATATCTCATATATGAATGCTCGTTTTCGTTCTTCCCTCCTGAGTGGTCGAGTAAGACCTGATCCACGAATACTGATAATTCCACTTGAAGTAGAACCCAGCAAATGGAATGGTTGTATGCTGTATTTTCATGGTTTTCCCTTGTGCTATGCGAATTCAACCCAGTTTCCCTTGGAATGCCCTCCATAAAGGCATCCCTACCATTAGGCAGATAATTCTCATGTACTTTGCCATATTCGAATAATTGTATTCATACTCCTGGTTTCCTTGCCGAACACGATGTTTGCTTGAGGCTGCAAAAACTGCAATTATAAAGGGCTCTTTAAGTCATAAAATAATTTAAAAAAATAGTAAATATAATATATCTTATATTTTAAAAGGAGTGGCTCTCCGAAGTTCAGGTAGGTTTCCTTTCTTAAATCTGCCGCTATGAGGCTAAGATTATTATTATTCTCTTTTGTAGTGTTTCAAAATTGTTTCGCTTGACGAAACTCTAAAATGAAAATCCATGTAGTCGCGACACAGTGATTTAGATTTTTCTCAGCATTATTTTAATCATTTTGTCATTATCATCATAATTGTTTTTATTATTGGTTTAACGTTCATCCATTTGTGAAGTCCGTGTTTAGTGTGTTCCATAGAGTTTGTCAAATCGTAGTCTTCGTGGTTTTATGGTTGACTGAGTAAGATGCAAGTCATCGTCAAAATGCACCTGTAAATTTCTTGGTTGGATTTCGTTACTTTCATTGCAGAAAATACTATTCTGTCCACGCATGCCTATACAAAATTTTCATTGCGCTATTCGCGCTCAGGGATACTGATATCGCTCTCAGAAGATGATCCCGAAATCCATAGACTGGATTAGATTGGATTATGGCAGAGAAAGCAAGGGCTATTTACCTAAAGGAAGGGTGCTTTCGTGGAGGACGTTTTAAGAAAAATTGCGTTGCATTACATATTGAGATTTCTAGAGATCTGAAATTTAAGGTAGAATGTTTTTAAAAAATCTAACATTTTCAGAAATAATGAAGCTAATAGAGCTAATAGAGCTAGGATTAGTGGCATAAATAAGGGTATGCAAGGAATGCAGTCGCATAGAGGCCCGAAGGCTTAGGAGGCCTGTGAATGTCCTGCTGAACTACATTTACATATTTAAACTTAAAACACGCATAAAAATCATGTATTCGAGTACTTTAGTGTACCAAAAATTTTTCTTAAAAGAAAGGGGGGAAACTTTAACATACATATTTTCTACAAACCTTGTATGTTCAAATAGTTTTCTTTATGAAATTTATGAAAAAATTTTTTTTTATTTAACAAACGTATCATTTACATTATAAAAGTTCTTATTTATGACTTGTATATTATTGCATAAGTCATGTTCGTAAGCTCAGTTGATCACAGAGCGCTATATATTAGTGTAATTTCTTTTTTTTTGTACGTTTACCTATCATGTTGTCTGTCAGTTTATTACATAACCAGTTATTTACTAGCTTACGAACGGAAAAAACTTGGATTTGCGTAGATTTTATATAGAAACTCGAAATATACTTGCATGTAAAACCTACTGGATTTTATTTAAAAATCTCCGCAAATCTAGACTTTCTCTCCCCTTTTTTTTAAGCACAGAAAATTTATTGGGGGGGGGCAGGAAAATTTTCTGCACAGGGGTCAAGTGTTCTAGCTACGCCACTGGCTAGGATAAAAGACTTTCCCCCTCACTTTCATTCCGAGATAAATGGAAACAGTTGATCCAGCACTGATGATAAATATGCAACTACATTTAGCGTAAAGAACGTTTCTGAATAGTGTAAAATGCACATTTAAATCAAAAAATTTCATGGCACACTTTATGGGATTTCTTTCTGTGGTAGCTAGGAAATACTACTCTATTTATTTAATAAGTCCTTAGTTTAAAGATGATAATCTTATGACAATGATATGTTACACTAATAATAGCAGAAATATATTTTACATACTCAGCAGGCATACATAAATGCACGTATGCTTTTTTAAACTGAACAGAAATAATCTTTTTTCTTGGGAGAAAAGAAAGTAAAAGTGAAAAGTACATATTACGTTCTTTAAGCGTTTTATTTTCATGTGCAGAAAGCTGACTTATACTCAATACATACGATAGCAGGTTTATCGAAATAATGCGCAGAATTATATTTCTCTTCTAAGTAAATTATACGGTAATCTTATTCAATGACTGATTATAACTTTCCAAGTTTTGCATTGCAAAAGCTTTTGGAATAAAAGTCAATCTTTGATCACCATGGAATCTCGTTAAAATGCAGAATGATTCCACTCTTTATGCGATAATAAATACTAAGTTCTTCAGACTCACGCGATTCACCGAGAAACTGTTGATGAAGATGCTCTTTAACTTGCGTCATTCATAAAAAAGATTACTGCAGAATCTAAATTGTGAAAATTTTCAACGCTTAGAAGTTTTCTACCTCTTTTGAGAATCCTGACTGTGACGTCATAAAATGCGCGCGCAGTTTTCTTCAAGGAAAGGCAACTTGTTGGAGTCAGCCAATCGGCGCGGGGATTTCATTATATCATCATCTTCATCGTTGATGGAAAGCAACGGAAATATTATTCCAACCGCAACAGAAATTTTGCATCTAAGATAGAGAAGTTAAGAAATCATTTGAAGGCGTAATTAAGCAATATTGGCAAATGAAGTATATTTTGTATTTTCAAGTGATGGATACAATTTCACTTTTAAAAGAAAACTGCAAGAAAAATGGATATATTCTTAAATGACAATTCTTGGAACAAGGGAAATTTCGAAGAACAAGCATATATATCTTCGGAAAGTAATTTTATTTCTGTTGAATATTTTCCACTAATTTATTCATATTACGAGCGACTGTTCAAAAGGCTACTAAAACTAATAACGAACACTTGTTAATACGAATGCAAATACAGGAAGAAAAGGAATTTTTCTTAATTTTACCATTTCCTTTTCTTAATTACTGAAAAATGTAACTTTTCTTACGTTAGTATATATTAAAAGTACAGAGGTTGCAAACGTTTTCAGTTACCTACTAAAAACATTTTGAAATATTTTATATTAAAAGCTTAAGGTATCAAGTGAAAACGATTGCAGATATTAATAAGTCCTTAATTTTTCTTAGAAATATTTATTCTGTACGCCAATTATTATTATTATTATTTCTTAATTTTTTATTCTGTGGAAGACTTCTGTGCTATGGAAGACTTCTAAGCAAGACAGGTACTTCTGCAACTCCCAAAAGTTTATAACAATATAAAGAACTAACTATACGAACTTGATAACCAAACTACAAAAGAAGTGTATTTCCTAATATAGACGACAAATATGACAGCAATCAAATGATGGGGACTACTTTGGAAAACATAATTATCAAAAAATGGGACACATTTATAATGATGGCTAAACTAAAAACGGTATAATTGATTAACAGGGCAAATAAAATAAACTCAAATGAGAAAATACGATAAAAAGTAACTTGAACTAACAGCGTATTATAAATAAATTCCTAAATTTCCAAAATGAAAGAAGACACAAGGATCGAAGACATTTCTGTTTGTGGGCAAGAAGTTGCAAGATCTAGTAATGGATTGGAGCGTGAAACTTGGAGCAAGAAAGCAGATTTTTTACTTTCTGTTATCGGATTTGCTGTGGATTTGGCCAATGTGTGGAGATTTCCTTACCTTTGTTACAAAAATGGAGGAGGTGAGTAATATGGTGATTACTTCAAAAATTACAATTACAGAATAGAATTAGATACAAAGTAAATGTGCATAAAGTAAGAAATCGAATAATTTTTCATCCTGTTCAAGTCTTGTTTAAAAATAAATTTGTTAAACCTGCATTTAAATTAATAAGTAATATTTGGGAATATGTAAGCAATTAATAATAATAAAAAATAACAAGTAATATTTGTATTAGCCAAAGTAATAATTGTGATAATTTTATTTGAATTAAACATGTGATATAAATTCAGTTTCAGAATTACAATTTTCATGTTATTGGCCCCAAAAGTGCAAATATTTCTCAAATTAATAAAATAGAATGTTATTTTTAAGTGTGACAAATAATAAATGCGTTTAAATTGCTCAGGTAGTAAACGTCAGTGATTTTACCTTTCCTAAAAGTTTCTAGTTGCTTAAAAATTTTGTAATATACAGAATAATAGAATTATAGATTCCTAGCTATTGTTGTAGCTGGGAAAAATTTAGATGATTCAGAATGGATCATACAAAATATTATTCTGATTTCTTTAAACAGCTGTTTTATGCTTTTAACAAGAAATTAATCATAGATTCATCATACCTCACTATAAGAATTATCTACGTATGTATCAGTTAAAATTACTTTCACGATTGAAATTTCCATCGAATGTTCTCTAAATTGATTGATGTGTAAAACAAAACAATTATTTCATTTCAGTTCTGTGAGTACTGCGTTCATATGTTTAACTATTTTATGTATAGAATAAGAGTTTTTGATTCAATATCTAAACTAATGCCTTTTCCTCAATAATTTAAAATATTTCTTTATTTGCAACTAATGTACTATCTTGTGACGCTTTTATTTGGTTTTTACTTAGCAGAAACACGGGCATAAAAAGGTAAACAACAAATGACAAATTACAAATGACAATTATAAACAATTAAAAAAATAATTTTCAAATTTAAAACCGTTTCCTTCCTTAAGAAAATTTAGTAACTCAAATCTTTATGTTTCTATTCGAGTTACAGTGTCTTTTATTTTTACTGTGTAAGAAGAGTTGTTAATTATATATAAATCCCCCCCCTCTTTCCACTAAAAAGTAAAATGATTTTTTTTGAAACTTTATTTCTAAGCATGCTTTGCATGAATTTGAAACATTACGTAGCGGATATATATTTAAAGGCAGATATTTGAAAGTAACTGTACATTCATTTGAAAAGAATGAAAAAAAAATGTAAACATATTATGAAAAAAAATTCCTTCTCCCTATGTATATTTTTAGCTATATTAAAATAAGTGGAAAAATTATAATAGGTGGAAATAATTAAATTAAATTAAAACAAAAAAATCTGAAAAGTTTCAGATTTTAAATTACGTCCAAAGTTTATTAAATATCACGTTTTTGCACTTAAACCACAAAATTCAATTCAATAGCAATGTCGCAAAATAATTTTAAAACGAGAATATCTTTAGAATTTCGATACAGAGACTCGCGCGCTGGAGATAAAAAGTTTTTTCCCCCCCCCCGTAGTGTTGCCATTGCTCGCTTTCAAAATCCTTGAGTTTGTTAATCAAAAATTCGTCAAAGTTTTAAAAAATATTAAATCGATAATAAAACAATTTCCAAATTTCAAATTTGGTCTTCCACATGCCTCATATTCGTTGGAGGATTACGTTATTCAAAATTCGATGGACTCTATGTACCGTTTTTTTATGACAATGGGAGAAATATACATACATTTATTCAGATTTTTCATTATTTAATTTCTTCAAATATAATGCAGGACTTTAACATTTAGTGGCAACAGTTTGAAAAGTGAAACGAACATTTATAGTGATTCAACGCAAAATCGCAAAACGAAAACAATAGTCCTTCAGGGACAAAATGCCTTTGGACTAATAAGTGGAAACAATTTGTAAAAAAGATAAAAATAACAACTGAGATAAGTTGAAAGCTACCACAGATTTGTACCTTTAAAGCCTGAAACATGCATGTAAAAAAAAAAAAAATTTTTTTTTGTAGAGAGAAATATTTACTGCGTGCATATGATACATTAAAACAAAAGTCGAAGACTTGGTATGATTATATATTCAATCTTAAAAATGCATAAAAAATGAAATAGTAGCAAAGCTAGTAAATTCTGCTTAAACTTTTATAAACTTCAAGTAAATTAGCGAAATTATGAGAATTCAATTACTCTTTATTAATGTACGCGTCTGAAATGCATTGGGCCTTGATATATTTCAGTCACTGAATATAAATTAACTGCTGGATGGCTGCAGAGCCAGTTAATACGTAAAATCTTCGACTTCAAGTTTCTTTTGATGAGGCTTGATACAGCTAGAAAAAAGGTACCTCTGGGCGCTAGACTTTAGAATTTTTTAATGGTTCAGCAAACACAGCACTCTTCAGAAAGGTATTCAGTTTTGACCGCATAGTTTTATGATGTATTTTCTCTCTCCTTCCAGCATACTTTCGTGGTAGAATAATCTATCATCGTAAATCTGGAATATCAGTAATCCGTTGGTCCCAAATCCTTGACCGCTTAAGTATGATATGCCTATATGTAAAGCATATATTGAAAGAAAGGAAACTTAAGCTTCTGAAGTTGATTAATGCTCATGTGTATAGTCATTTTTAGACAATCTTGAATAAAGTTGTTAAGAAATAACACTTTTAAAATAAATTTAGCAACCTTTTTGAAAATTATGTACGTATTTTAACATTATTTTGTTTTAAATTCTTTAAAAATAAAAGTCGTCGTTTCTTAAATTATTTATATTTTTAGATAAATAATTTTCCTACATGTGCATTTAAAAACATTAAAACAATAAAAATTAATTGTAAGGATTTAATACCATTACTGTTCTCAGACATTTGAATTCCATCTCGAAGAAAAAGTTATTAATGAAGTCTTAATGAATGCTCAGCTGGAGCTTGGCAATAATTGTAATGGAAATCATTATCTTAATGAGTATGCGCAATTTGATAAGGCAAAAGTTCAAAACTAATTGTCAGAAAACAAGCCATTGCCTCTTTTTCCTTGTGATCGTAGATAAAGAACAAAAGATATATTTAAATGCGTAAGGAAAATCTTTTAATTTGTTTAAATATCTATAAAGCCATAGGTGAAAAGGTTTTCGGGAGGTTTCTTTGAAAATATTTAATTTTAAGATTTAAAATCTAGCATCTTAAAGCGTATTTAAAACTCGGTGTTGAAAGATGCTGCTTTAAAATGATATAAACATGAATCTTCTAATCGATTCAATATTTTACATTCGATTTTAATAATATATATGCCAGCTGATGAAATACAATGTGTGTGGTTAACGTGATAATTTATTAAATTGTTAATGGTTATAATTATAAATAATTATAATTATGGGTTTAATTTATATGAAATTTCATTTAAACCAGGGGAATTAAACGAGGTCAGTATTGATCCCCCAGGACTCTGTGAAATTTTAAAGGGGGTAAATGATGATCCAGGGTTGACTGGGGATCGCCAAAATATGCACGGGCAAGGTATTGCACGTTGAACCATATATGTGCGAACAGTTGAACGGCATAATAAAGATCTTGGAGTAATAAAAAGCACTTATTTTATAGTGGGTAAAATGATGATACAGAGGCTGACTGGGGATCGCCAAATATGCATGGATAAATAAATATGCACGTTCAGCCAAATATGCAAGAGGTAGTTGATCGGCATAATACAGATCTCAATAATTACGAACAATATTGTTATTGTTGTAATATCTGTATGATTTCTTACTAATTAAATTTACAGATTAAAGTAGGCGGATCAATAAATCTGCAGCAGCTTTACTGTTTTAACACAATTAGAACTGAGTTCCTTTTTAATCTTAATTTTATTTAGTAAACACCACGCTTCCATTAGATTATATAATACACATATTAAAACCCAGTAAAGCAAAATATAAATGCTGTGACAGAGATAAGCTGGTACACAGGATTAAGTTAAATTAACAATGAAGATAATAATATTTCGTTAAGCGCATTAAGAGATATTACGATCGTAAGCTTTCATTTAATAAAGGGAGATGAAAATGAATCTAAACCTTAATGTTATGTCAGGAAAATTTTCATTTTATTATGGCAATAGAAATATATAGTCAACCTAAATCTAAGTTTTCAGAAATAATTTTACTGTCTTCAGAGTAAAGTATTAAGGTACATGGTCCTTCTCTTGATATTTTACCGAGAAATTAAACTAAATTGAGAGTTAAATTAAACTCATTATAATACTTCAGGCCAAAAATTTCCATTAAAAATTAAAAAAGCGGATAACGTGAATTCTTTAGAATCTATTTCTGTTGCATCGAACACTGAAATGAGTGAAAATTAAAACAGTTTTTAATAGCTTCGAAAGGTGTCATTTATTTTTTTCATCTGAAAAAGATTGATTTTGCTTAGATCATTCTCTCGATCTCAGGTTGTTTATCCAATGAGATCTTTACTGGGGAGACCTCAGTTCTAATGGAAAAGCACACTCAGCGTGGCAGACCATATAAATTTCCATTGTTAATTTTAACAAGTTGACAAGGTCCGGAAAGGGGTGAGGTTGGAAAGGCTTCGAACCAGAGTTTAATGAGTGTCTACAATAGGGCTCACTTCCTTGACAAAATCTCTCCTACTACATAATAAAGAATTGAAGGAAACGATATGGAACATCGCAGCTGCTTTCATTAGCTTTTATTCAGGTAAAAATTCGGTTGCATTCTTGGTTTTTGTTTTAAGAGGTATATTCGGTCTTAGATTAATTTGCATGCGGATTTTACTAAGATTAAAAGTGCCTTGGAATACAATTTTCGATTTTGAATGTATTTAAACATAAGTGAATATTTAAACACAGTAATGAATAATTTCTTTTTATTCCGTGATATTTTAGGTGCTTTCCTTATTCCTTACATCATAATGTTGGCTGTCGGAGGAATACCATTATTTTTTATGGAATTGGCATTAGGTCAATATAACAGAAAAGGAGCCATTACTTGTTGGGGAAGAATAGTACCACTTTTTAAAGGTTTGTTTCAGAGTTATTTTATTTATGAGAAAAATTTACTTATTCTTTATTATATTATTTATATGAATGACTTATACTCTTCGGAAAACTTTCAGGATTTAAAAGGGGTGGTGTGATGTGCCGGCAATTTCAGACGTTTTCATTTTGGCTAACAATATGCAAGTGATTAGATATTCAGAGGGATATTCACTTATCCGCTTTGGATGACGTAATAATTAGGAGTTCCAGAAAGGAATAAAGGGGCGATCGATCTTCTTGAATTCAAGTATTGCTGTGATACTCAGTCCTGATCATCCGAAATTGTATTCACCGATCACTGATCATTGTATTCATTGCATTTTAAACAACAGTGTTCATTAACAGCTGTCTACAATGGCTGAGTAACTAAAGATACGGAATACTGATTTTGTTCTAGGTTCTATTCCCGGCAACTGAACGAGTTGGTTATATTGACTGTAGTAAGTTTCAATTGTCTTTCTCAAGAGTAACATAAGTGTGGACCAGTTTCATTGAGGAAATCCTCCTTTCTCATAAATATATAGATCTAAGTTATACGTTTTGCCATGAACAAATAGTCGGAAGCTATACATGCTGTTTATTATTGCTTCTGGGATTAAATCACAAAAAGATTTTTTTAAAGCAAACTGGAACTTCAATAGTAACACATACTGATGTTGTGCGATCTTTCTTGTGTGTAGAACAACGATACACAGCGTATAGAATCAAAGTGAAAAAAAGCTTTAAATTTGAGGTCGGTGTTTAATCCTGTATTTGTATTTCGTTGTTAGGGCCTCTATGAGCACTATATCTCGATAAGATTCGATAATTCTAATAGGATATATACGTCTATCAGGATATGCGTCAGAAAATTTATGCTGTTTGGCATATAACATAGGGTAATCACAACATGATTCTTTAGCCCAATGTACCTTGTTCTATTATATCAACACACACGTCTGGCTAGAACAGTACGTCTGGCACGTCTGGCTAGAATGTGTTACGATACATCATTTTAATTTCAATAACCTGCTATAAAGTTTGCAATGAAAGCAGTTTTTATGGTTGTGTGTGCGTAACCATGAGCATGGTTTCTTTGACAATAGTTTCAGGAAAACAATACTATGTATTCGATATACTGCGTATATCTTTGAGGTACTGTTTGAAATTTTATTTTGTTATATTTTTATTGACATACGCCTAGTGAAAATGGGAAGGAATATGTATCATATGCGCTCGAATAATATCCGTACTCATGCCAAATGTCCGCATTTTTTATTTTTGGAATAGAATATAAGAAAATTTTGTCTCTGGAAATCACCGCACAAACGTTTCTTTTTTTCATTTTCTGTACTTAGCCTATATTAAAACATATATTTCATGTACGTATGCGTGCCTTTGCGATTAAGCAAGCACTCACATTTGTTTTGGATAATTATGTTTAAAAATAATTCTTAGAAAACTGCTGAATGTAAGTGCTTTCTGTCGATGTTTTGCTTAGCACTCAGAGCTGCGTAGGGAATTTGACTTTGCTATAATAATTACCAGTACTTTCACTTGCCCTTTTTACTATCAACCTATACACGTAGGTAAGGAAGGTAATGTTTTCGGTTCAAAAAATCGATAGTGTATTTTCGATGAATAAGCACCAACTACATACACAATACATTTTTACTCCCCACAATACATTTTTACTCTTTTTAGAATCACGTCTGAGTGTCTGTGTGTATGTGTATGACGACTATTTACGTCCGCGGTAACTTTTATAAGAAACTTCCAAAAATTTACATTTTTCGTATTTGAGCTCGGTACATTCATATAAAGAGTTGATTAGATTTTGAGTAAAATTCACAGCCTGAAGTTGTACTTTACATGAAGCCTATACAGACTGTTTACACTAGCGGGACCTTGAAACCAAGAAACGCGCAGGAATTTGACGGTTCCACTAAAGGGGAGATAAAGCACATTATATTTACCTCCCTCCAATCTATATATACACTGGTGTGCAAAAGTTAATGACGAAGTCGAAAAATTAGCATATCAGCTGAACGAGGCAGAGCGGACAGAAAGACAAATCAGGAGATTAAGTAAGGTGATGTACGGTAGCACATGCGCAGATATGCCGGTAGACGTAATGGGGGAGTGTCTGAGTAGTATAAAGCATGTTGTCGGTGTAAGATCAATATTTCTGGCAAAGAGATTGCACGCCGTATAGCAGTTAAAATCACACCTAGTTGCTGTCTCAGCAAGAAATGGTGAATAATCAATCTGTTAGACGACATCTGGATGCTTTTACCCGAGGTCGAATCATTGGGAAGTTGGAGGAAGGCCGCAGTGTGACAAGTGTGGCTGCAGAGTTCAGAATTGCTCACAGCATCGTTTCACGACTTTGGAGACAATTTCAAACTACACGAACAGCTATCCGGGGGTTTAGTAGTGGTCGTCCACGAGGAACCACACCCGCAGATGACCGGTATATTGCCTTACAGGCCAGAAGAAACAGGCAGCAGACAGCGGGAGAAATCGCTAGACACACGACACAGGCGACTGGACGACCGATATCGCGTTTTACCGTGGCCAGAAGACTGCACGGTGGTAGTCTGTTTGCACGAAGCCCTGTACGGTATGTACCTCTAACGCCTGCCCATCGGAGAAGGCGTTCTCTGTGGTGCCGGGAACACCGGAATTGGAGAGACAATGAATGGGGACGAGTACTCTTTACAGATGAGAGCAGATTCAATCTGAGTAGCGATTCTCATCGCATACTCATCTGGAGAGAGCGGGGAAGCCGCAATCATCCCTCGAACATCATTGAAAGGGACAGGTATGGAGGTGGCGGTGTTCTCGTTTGGGGAGGCATCATGCTTGGTAGTCGTACAGACCTTCACATCTTCGACGCAGGTTCAGTCAACGGGACCCGTTATTGTAACGAGAATCTTCTTCTTCCATATGTGCGTCTTTTTAGAGGCGCTATGGGTCCGCAGTTCCTTTTCATGGACGACAATGCACCATGTCATCGCACAGTAGCTGCCGAACAGCTCTTAGAGAGTGAGGATATTGAACTTATGGATTGGCCGGCACGATCTCCGGATCTCAATCCCATCGAGCATGTGTGGGATTTTCTAGGCAGACGCTTGGCAGCTCGTACCTTACCACCAGTAACGATTCCGGAGCTTCGATTGGCGCTGCACGACGAATGGGCAACAATGCCTCAACAACTCATTGACACCCCCATTCTCAGCATGGGCAGAACGCTGTGAAACCTGCCTAGCAGTCAGGGAAGATCATATCCCCTATTAAAGACCGGATGTTTCTTGCTGGACACCCATCACAGGGATGTTTCGGCCTTCAGTCGCATTGCGCTCCATGCTATTTTTTCAATAAAGCTTCTTTTTATCTCTCTGATTTCTCTTTTAGTAAGTGTTGCTTACATTACTCATGTCCTTACGTATTGGGGATCTTACGGTATTAAATGTGTTGATTTGGAAAGCTTTTCTACAAAGTTATATTGAAAAAACCGTCTCGTCCTTAATTTTTGCACACCAGTGTACCTAGGTAAGGGAGGTAATGTTTTTGGTCCAAAATTTCGACAGAGAGTTTTATGTGAATAAAATTAGGATCCTCAGAACACGTTTTACAATTTTTAGAAAGATGTCTTTGTGTGTGTGTGTGCGTGACGATATTTTTAATCCACAATAACTTTTACATGAAACTTCCAAAAATTTCTATTTTTCGTATTTAAGCTTTCCACATTCATAAAAAGAGTTGATTAAATTTGGGGTACACTTCGACTATTAGAAATTGTACTTTGCTTGAAGCCCATAGCAGTTTTTAATAAAAAGATATAATAAAATCGAATCTAAAACTTTTCAGTTTTAGTATGTAAGACTGTTATGCCAATGGGAATAACATGTGAGATTTTGGTTAAAACTGATAAACTCGAAGTGATAGTTTTCTTCAAGTTCTGAACAGATTTTCGTAAAAAAATATATTATCAGATAATCTAAAACTTCTCAAATTCGGTATTTAAAATAGGTATGTGATTGAGAAAGACATATTATATTTAAGAGCATTAATATATTCTTGGAATTATGCTACATGCAACGAGAATAAGCTCATTATGAAGACGAGCTGTCGTTGTAAAGCAATTAAATGTGCTAGCCTCATTCCTCAATTTTGTGTCCGTTTCAGTGTCGAATCACTTTTCAAATAAAAGAACGCTGCTAAATATTTTAAAGAAATAGTATAACAAATATAAATAATATAGCGAATATAAAAAGAAAAGTACGCCAACACTTACGACTGTATCGGGTATTCCAAAGTTTTGCTGCTTTTAAAAATTTTGTGATTGTTCAGTCATTGTTTTGTGAATCTGGAACACTGTACGACTAGAGGAGCGATCGACTGTATGACTATGATCGATGCAATATTTTCAAATCAAAGCATGAGAACGGATGTGTATATGAGCACCTATAGTTATTATTGTCCTTTGTTTAGATAATAAATAGAACAATTAAAATTAGCAGTGTTTATAATTGAAAGTGAACTCTAAAGTTTATAAATAAATTATATTTTACATATAGACGATGAACCAGAAGTTGATAGTTTACTTAAAATTCGTGCTATTCCTTTAATTCCATGTGTTGGTCGCATTGAGTTTTTTTACACATGGCTTGTCCTTCAAGAGTGAAGGATTTTTCGTAATAGCAGAAGTGTAAGTAATCAAAATTGGAAACTGAATAACTCTTGGAATATCCGCAATTTGAAATTTTTGGATAAAAGGAGGATATATTACTCGATCGTATATGGTATATATGTAGAAACAAAAGTTAATTACTTTACTTTGTAAGGTATATCTTAATTTTATAACAGTTATTTTAAGTTTATATCACTTCCCTATCTCTTCTAGCTTCAGCTTGCAATTCCTTACCAGAATGAGTTTTGAGAATCGCGTTAAATGCAAATCAAAAGTAGAAAGTATTTAAGTCAAAGTTCACCGACTTCGGGAGAGAGAGTTAGGATTCCTGAATAGCACGCGTTTGCCTTTTGGCTAAGTCTCTTTAACTGTTACTACGCTCGGCCGTATTACGTGCCTTTAGATAGCTTCACTAGGTAATTTAATATTACGGGCCAACTAAGTTAGAATACGTGTTAGCTTCGGCTAAATCTCTTTAGTTAGTTCTTATTTCTTATATTTTAAGCCCAAGTGGAGGCTTTGTTGTACCCTCTGAGAAAGGGGCCATCTGTGAATGCTTATTTTAAGCAATAAAGGGTAATTAACCCTTCTTGAGTTTACGTTTCTGTTATTGGAAAGCCATTATTCGCTTAGTAGTTCACTACGTTCCTCAGCACTTAGTTAATAGATAAAAGCGAGGAACCCTACAACTTCGTTTATTATTTTTTTTAGTTAATTTATTTTGTTATTTATTATTTAGTTCATTTAGTTAATTACTGTAGTTAGGTAATTTAGTTTATTATGTTTATAGATCGCAGGACATTGTAATAATGAAGAAATGAGGCTTTTTTAATAGGTATTAAGATTTTATTATGACGTTACATGCAAATAACTTTCGACGTTTGTTGCTTTGAAAATAAACAGGCCTGATTTTGGGCTGATTTGGTTTTTAAAATTATGAAGCATTCAAATTAAACTTAAAAGATAGAAACTCCTACACGCAATGCGTGATGATGGTTATGTTTCCCTTTATCATCGATCATATTCTAAAGTGATGTAACATTTTGCAGCTTATTGTCAATTTCTAAATCCTTTGCAAAATAATAAAAATAGTGCAGCAGTGAATGCGAAAAGAAAACATTAAAATCAAATTCCTCAGTAATTTTTAACGGAAAATACCTAATCATTAAACTACTAAAAGCATAACAAATTTTTAACAAGTATCTTCAGTTTTTAATAATACTAGCAATGGCATCTTTTCCTGCTTCTCTTGCTTTATATCGTATGAGCATGGCCATCTACCTCAAGATTTACGAGCATCTCTAGATGACAAGAGCGGGATGGCGTCACTTGAAAAATTGTGCTGAAGGTAGACGTAACACAAACCTTGAATATCAATAAGACAGTTTACATGTGGATTGCCTGCCACAGCATGGTAGTAAATTCATATGATAAATGAAATGGATACCCAACTTTCTTGGCAAACATTCTACATAGCTGATTGACAGTTGAGATGTTCCTTTTGCTACAGTTGCATTTACGACATATGAATTTATTGAAGACATTATTACACATTATGACAGTGAAACCCATTAAAATGTTACAATTTACTCAAAGCGTTAACTCTTCACTTTGTCATTTCATGAATTACGGTAAAACCTTGAAATATGTAAGCATGTTGATAAATATATTTTTATGGGAGACAAGTTTCTAACTCTTGTTGGAATGCATGTTAATTGCTTTGGAGGTGAGGAAAGGAACATATATTATTAGCAGTAAAACTGCATTTTTTGCTGATTCACTGCTGATTATAAATATATGTAAATTTCAAGATGCTTATATAAAAATATGGTACATGTATGTGGTGAAAAATGTATAATAATTCCTTAAGTCTGCTATTTAATTTGGTCACCCTTTTTGTCTTAAAATAATAACATGGTTAGAATTAATCTCTCTAAACTGCGCCTCTAAACTTGCTCAAAGGGACTCTTTCTTCATTTACAAACACATACACGTTTTGAGAACATTTCGGCTAATGTCCCTTTGGGCTAAAAATATTTAAAAACAGTATACCTTTAGAATTTCCGATAGACAGTCTAGCGCGCTGGAGATAAAAATGTTTTTTCCCCCCTCGTACCATGTTTTCATTGCTCGCTTTGAAACCGTTGAGTTTGTTAAGTTGTCAACAATGTTCTCAAACAGAACATTTAGAAAAACTAGCAAAAAGCAACTCCATATCATTAACTAATTGCAAGCCGATAATGGAATGCAATCTCTCTACCATGCGTGAAGGTATGGACATTGATACATATAATTAAAGGATATTTTTTTTAATGAAACTAAACTTTTGTTACTGAGCAAAAGAATACACGGGAATTATGCATAAACATTTAAAAAGACATACTGCATTGCGTACAAGTTGAATAATGATGAAACAGTATTCTTATAGACAAAATTTTAAAAACGAGAAATTTGCGTAATCTAGCTAATGCGTTTAAAATACAATAATTAAATAGGATGCGTGATCTCATCTGGCCAGAAGTGTACATTTTATACCCTTTTCCTCATTGTTGATTAAAGCGCTAATCAAGTTCTGGGATTCAGAAATTTTTCTTCTAAATATACAGATCTCTTTCTTGGAAGACCCGGGAAGAATGCTGGAGTGTCTCAAGTCGATGATACAGACATTCCTAGACATTCTCAATAGGACTGAGGTTAAGCAAATAAAGTGGTCATTTCATTCCAAAAATATCCTAAGTTTAAAAGGTGTTCAGTCGCTTAATAGTTCGATTGTGTCTTATTTAAGTATTCTGTGCATAAACAGGTACGCAACAATAAGTTTTTGGGCTCAGCAATATATTATTGCTATGTGTAATTACATTAAGTTAAATTATAATCATTCAGGGAGCATAGTTTGTACTTACTCATAAAATCTGAATAACGTAATTTATCAGAGCAATCAACTTTAATGTTTTTGTCTTCTAAGATATAACTTCGAGAACTTTCCACGAAAGAGCTGTTATTGTGAGATTTTTAAATATATTGTTTCCCTTCCCTAAAAAAACATTTATTTTCGTATGTGACTGTGCTTTTGTTCCTCTAAATAACTCAATGAGTAGTAAGTGAAAAATAATCCTGTTTTCCAAACGTTTTGCAGGTGTAGGATATGCTGTCGTTCTAATTGCCTTCTACGTCGATTTTTATTATAATATTATCATCGCATGGTCTCTGCACTTCTTTGTTGCTTCTTTCAACAGCGTCTTGCCTTGGACAACTTGTGATAATGCCTGGAATACGAATCTTTGCCGTCAGATATCATCTACTGAAGATGTCGTCAATGGTACAGGCACAGAAATGAATGGAACATCATTGGAAGCATTAGGAATTCAAAATACGGTAGCTCGGACATCTCCTGCTGAAGAATATTTCAAGTAATTATCCTTGACATTTTACTGAGGTTAAGCATCTCAGCTAAGAATTCTATTATATATTTCAAGATAAAATATGGAAGCTACATATTTTTATAAGAACTATTATTTATCACCTCCTTTTCCCTTTCTCAGGTTTTTAATGTTTGAAGGGAGTCAAAATAGTACGGATCTAAGTATAGGTAACTTAAAAAAATTTTAAGGAACTCTAGTTTGTGAGGCTATCTTTCCTGGGAGGAACAAATCCAATCAGTATTCACTTATAAGGGTATTATAATCACAATTATTTTTAGCTTTTAGCTCCCATCGATGCTAATATAAATACTAAATGACATGTTGAAAAACGCCTATTTTTTTCTCAATGAAAATTCAGATAATTTAAAGATTAAAGAAAAATAAATCTTCGGTTATTTCCCATATCAGATACCAGTTTTCGTTGTAAAGAGTCTCATTTACGTTTTCTTTAATTTGTATCATTTTTCGATATATAACTTATGTTCGAAATTTTTTTTGCCCATCGTAGATACCAGTTATGGTTATTAACAACGGATAGGATTTTCTTATCTTAGAATCATTTTAGTTTAATCTTAGATAAACAGGAATAACATACTGTAAATAATATTCAATCATTTCATATTTAACCCATAAAAGAAACTTCTTTAAAGGGACGAACTAAAGGACATAATTGAAGCAAAATAAAAATTTGTGCTGACAAGTCAACAACTGAACTTTTAATACATTTAGCGATTTATCCCTCCCTTTCTGCGCCCTTTTTTGGTTCAAAAACAGGATTTATTTTTAAAAGCTTTTCTGAAGAACATTACTAATGAATTGCAATCATTTTCAAACAAACAAAAATCAGGTACTTAAAAATACTTAATTACACTTTTCTCTTTTTACCAATTTAACTTGTTTTCTCATGCGTAGTCATGAACATTAAAGTATTTTGAACTCGTAAACTCGTGAACATTTAAAGTAAAGGTGCTAGCCTTCCTTGATTAGGAGCATTTTTCCACATTTCACATTTTAATGTTTGTTTTTCATTCACAAGGTCTTTCAAATTGAAAATTTTAAACTATTAAGTCTTCTGTTTCATACTTCCATAGTTCCCACAAATTAAATATATTAAAAATATATTTTGTTTAAAAATTTATTACTTATTTTGAAAGCAAACATTTTTCAAAACTTTGAACTTACATATTGCTTAAATATTACGAACTTGAAGACGATTGCCATTCCTATAAAACGAGTAGGGAGAGAGGAATAAATAATGTAATCGTCAGCTTATTGTTGCTAGAATATTATTCATTGTCTCTCATTATTTTATGTATTTTAAAATATAATGAAAGAAAACAGTAATTTACAATATTAGAAAAGCAGTATATTTGACAGTTTCTAAAATTATATGAAAAATGTAACTTTGTAAGTAAAAGTAGTTTTTGAAAATGTAAATGTCACACGTTAGTAAAATTTTGCAAATACTTACATTTAAAGATTTCCATAATTATTTAGTCCTTTTAGTTTATTTGATATATTTTTATCAGTCTACCGTTTATCTCATTTAAGAATTTTCAAGAAACAAAACAGGATATTCTCAAAGAAAGCAAAACAGAAATTTATATTTACAATATTTTTATTATAAGTATCAATTTCTTTTTAAATTTTAAGTTTTAGAAAATTTATATCTGTATTTGAAATACCACTACCACTTTAACAAATTAACTTAATAGTGTGAAATTATAGTGCTATTCTTGTGTCTACGCTTCTCTATCTCGTACGCAAACCAGCGGCCGAGCGGTAAATTCGCTGAACACTGGTAGTTCGGTCCGAGGTTTGAATCCCTCAAACGGGCTGGCTGCATGGGCGTTTTCGTGGTTTTCCTCATGTGTATACGGGCGAGTTTCCCTTAGAAAGTCCTACACGAAGGCATTCCTCCCCTTAGGCAGAATGCCTTCGAGGTTTTGCCATAATCACACACACACACACGGAATATCTCTATCTGGTATAAGAAACTTTCAAACTTTTATCATTGTCACCTTTAAATTTTTAAAATAAGTTATTTCGTTTTACTTATCCCTAAACTCAGTTTTTTTTTTTTTTTTTTTTTTTTAAATTTGCAAAATGCACAATACGGTTTTAGGACTTATTTTGATAAAATCAGGTTCTCAGTTACAGATAACCAAACACCGAATTTTCTTTCATGGGCTATTTAAAAAATTCCTTATTTTAATGTGGGATTTGTGTATACAGGAGAAATTCGTAGATCTTCACAAGTTAGAAAATGCGACCTTATTTTAAAAGAAAGGATAAAAAAGTCTTCAAAAGTTCCCCATTTTTAGAATAAAAATCACAAATTTCAATTTTAAGAGGCCATAATTATTGTTTGCACTATTTTCCCCCTGCATTTGGATTTCTTTAAAATTTCTGAAATCTTCCTGCACAGGAACAGGTTAAAATAGACATTGCTACTTATAGGCTGATGGACTGCGGTTAAGACAGAGTTAGCTGATTTCGCCTTAAGAGTTAGTCTGGGAATGGTATGGGTTACTAATGATATTTATCCTGTGTTTAAGGAGAATTTGGTTATTATTGGAGTTCTGTATGAGCTATTTACAGCTATTAATTTTCGCTGTATTCTTTTCTAATAAATTGTCAAATTCTTTTTACTCATTTGGAATGATTATTTAAAGAGGCAGCCACGAATCTGTAGCTCTCTACAATATGAATGAGATCCACCAGCTGTGTAAACCAAATTTAAAAGACTGGAAACGTGTGTGACGTTAAAATAAACAGAATACTTTTCTTGAATTATCACACAGTTTACACAAATGAGAGATGCTTATAGATGAGACGATATTCAGCTATTGGTAATCTTCAACAAGATATTATAGCATCTTCTATGTACCCATAAACTCTTACGTTCCTAATTCGATGGTTAAAAGAGGTAGACCATTGCCTCGATGGTTTTTCTTATAACCTACATTGAAAGTTTTGTGCATGTGACACCAGTTTTTGATATTAAAATCTGAAGAAAAACAACACGTTGCATGTACTTTCAAAGAAATCACTAAAGAAAATAAAATGCATAAAAATGAGTTTCTTAGAGATTATAACATAAAAAAGGAGTCCATAGGATTTTGCTACAATGCTAAAGAAGAATCTTGCTGATGTCAGCCATGTATAACGTTATCGGCTCATGAACTCTGTCAGAAATACTTGCTGTACCACTTCAGGATTCAGTCAACCTGATGACGGTCTCACTGCATATTTGCTGAAATTCCGGATAACATCCATGCTGTCTTCAACACCAGGAACGGTCTATTAGTGCTAACCAACCAGTGCAGGGACTTCTCACCTAGCTCGAGAACAGGCGGTGAAGAAACAGTCTGGAGCTGAACATGCAGAAACGGAACAGCAAAGATGTGTCTCTTGTTTTTTTTTTTTTTTTTTTTTTTTTTTTTTTTGTGTGTGTGTGTGTGTGTAATTATGGCAAAGCCTCGAGGGCTATCTGCCTAAGGGGAGGGATGCATTCGTGGAGGACTTTCTAAGGGAAACTGGTTCGTATACACAGATGTGGCTCTTGACTCTCCGACTTCTCCAAAATGTATCAGAACTTCTCTGTCTCAGAATATTTTACGTTTGCGCTTATATAAGCACTAGTCCCCTTGACGTTTTCAGGTCCATGGAAAATAGGAAACCAAAACTCTAGCAGGGCAAAACACTGAGAAAAATAAAATGTCAATCAGTTTAAACAAACTAACAAAACTAAAACAGAGCGAGATTTTATGTTTACCTTGAGCAGTATGTACCTTCAAACAAAAGTGCATTATTGTTATAAAGTGAGTGCAATGAACTTCTGATTGTTAACAAAACTTATTTTGGTTTCCAATAACCTGAAGGTCATACTGTAATTTTAATTAATATGTATACAGCTTAGAAAATACCCATAGAAAAACACACTATTTGCTGTGGTTAGATGAAATATCTTCAATTTCTAAAAGAGAAAGAATTAAAAAATTGCCCAAACTCATCCCTATTTGCGCATGTAATCCATGACCTATGTGCACGTAACTGGTAACAATGATATGCACGTAACTGGTAACAATGATTTAAAGTAACTTAGATTGCACTGACTGAGAGAATTTAGTTTTGTTTTTCTTTCAAGACAGATGTTTTAAAAGGGAAATGACACGTAAGGGATATTTGACTCACTTAGAAGAGGCATAAAATTCTTTCAGCTTCTGTAGCCACTCTTACGAGAAATAAAGTAGTGATTGTTATTACTAGTTTCCTTTAATAATCGCAAGGAATCAATAAAGAACAGTTGCATAAGCACACAGTTTTGCCATTGAGAACATGAAAAAAATGAACCAAATTTATAAAATAATATGCACTGTATTACAATTATAAAAATTAAAGATTTTATTAAACAGCGGGTGACCATATAAAAAAATATTTCCTTTGCAAGAAAAACGTTCTAGATCTTAAAAAGAGCAGTAAATATAGAATTTTTTAAATTCATATTATTTAAGGAATTTTATGTCATTATGATTTCTAAATAATATAAAATTGCTTAATTAAAATATGCCCGGCAAATATGGGAAGAAAGAAGTAATGATTCATTTCACTGGGTAATCATGTTCGAAGCTTGCATTTTCAGTTATTTAATTTTTCTGTTTGTACACAGTATATGTTTCATACGCAATTTACACTTAAGTATTTCCTTCAGTTAAATGGTTAATTACATATCTGTATATACCTGAGCAGCGGTTCCCAACCTTTTGGCTAACGCGTACCATCTAATCACAAAATTGTAAAACTTCAGTACCACCAATACTTAACAATGATTAATTTTAGTTTCGCAATAGAAATATTTAAAAAAATATATTTTACCATTTGCACAACCTATTGGCTATTTGCATTAAACAGCATACATAAACAAGTATTAGATTAAAAATTGGTTAAATTACCAAAATTTAAGTTATAATACTTTAATTCTACAA